TTATTGTTTGAGTCGTTGGGCACCGTTGAACACGTTTTCTAAATCGTAACTAATAGGCCATGATGTAACTTTGGATTTAAGCACGACTTTCTTTACGTTAATGCAGGAAGAACAGGGCTGGCATTGATTCTTGTAGTGATTATGTCCAAAATAAACCTAAATATATATATATATATATATATGGGCAATATTGCCAAATTTTTAACATAGCTGAAACGGAGGTTCACCCCTTTGTAACTCGGGAATTACTTAAGTATATGAAAAAAAGTGAATAGTTTTGGGTTAATTGGTCTGTCGTTGCAAACTTTTCATGATATTGACCACCAAACTTTATTTTGGTGGAAGCTGTGTCTACTTTAATGTATCATTTTTCAAAATTTTAACTGCATCTACCTTTAAATGATGCTGACATTTTGAAGCTCGATTTTTTTAATTTTTTTTTTTAATTTTACTTCTAGCTTTAATACGCAAAGAGGAATTTCCAAAATTATATTATTTCGATTATAAGATTATTGTAGTCGCGAATCTGCGATATGTATTTTGTGTATGTAGTATGCACAGCTTCAGAGTAGTACTCATCCGATGGTGAAAATTTTGTGCGATCAAATCTAAAAAACCTATTTTTCGGGCCAAATTTTTAGATCTGTCAACTGAATGATATGGGTACCCGCGATCAATAAGGTGTTTTACGTTTCGGATGATATAAAATCTTCTTCGTTAAAATTCATCTACTAAAACGGCGGGAACTGGCCTTCCAAAAACACGAAATTTGGCAAAAAATGGTTTTGAAAATATCGCGGATTTAATTGCGTTTTCTGTGGATCATTTCCGCTTCAATAAATGACCTCATACGGATTTTGATCTTTTTCGAAAAGAGAACTTTAAAAACTTTAGCCGAAAGAGAGATGTACCCAATATATCTCAAAAATAGTGTGAGCTGGCACATCCATGGTTCTTAATGGACTACATTGAAATCGGTATAGATCGATTTATTTTTTTAAGGTGCACACCGAAATCGGATGCGCGTTATGGCATATGGAGTTTTCGGAAATTATTCGCGTTTTACGATTTTTTGGGTACTGCAATGTAACGTGTGGCACATCTTAGCCGTCAAATGGAATTTCGCAAAATATATATATGGATTGGAAGATAAACTTCAGTACTTTCTGGAAACCGCATGGGCATAAAATGACTTTGAGAATTACGCGATTTAGACGCAACTTAAAATGTATATTTCGTAATATTATTTTATTTTAAGATTTATTCCTATTTATAGAACCCCAAGATTTATCGGAAGGGTCTTCATATAATCCGCAAGGAGTATACTTATACACAAAACGAATTTTTACATAGAGGAGATCGGGCCAAAGAATATGCATGCCTGTTTTGATAAAGATCGGTCGATATTTAGCGGGTCAAATGGACCCTGACTTTTGTGTGAAAAATTACAAAATTTGTAATCTATGACGTATATATTTTCTCATGAAGGTCATATATCCGAGAAGTTGATTATATATCCAAGAGGAGTGGTTGACCTTTTAATTGTTACCAATTATATTGTCGTATGTCCTCGGATGTGAGAGTTACACTTAAATATTTACAGGTACTTGCGTATTCACATATTAGTTAATAACCCATTACCACACTAGAGGGCGGAAATATAGCGCTGATCGCTTTGAAATGTTTCATGAGGTTCCAGTTATGGTCAAGTACAACGCTTATAAATTTCGGTGATGATCAGATAATAAGATAATAATTTTTTTTTTGTGGATGAAGTTACAATTATAAGCCGAACATCACAACACAACCCACGAAAACTGAATATTGGTTATTTTTTTTGTGTTTTTTTTCAATCTCTTTCAATCTCTTGCACTAATTATGAATTTTTCGATGTTTCATTTAGCGGCCAAAGTGTGCCGCTCGATGCACTTTACTATGCAAAAACCCTAAAAATGGCTAAAAATGACACAACGTGCATAAGATTTTTATGCGCATCAGATTTCAGTAATCTCCTATGAAAATACACAAAAGGACACCTATTTTAAAAGGATCGGTTAAGAACCGCGGATGTGCCACCACAATTATTTTTGGATAAAATAGGCATATTATTCGCGTATCGACCTATTTTCACACAGATTCGCGAATATGATAATACATGTATGAATGTATGTAAAATCAGTTCGAAGAAAAACGCGATTATATACGCGAATTCGACATTCAATCTACCTATATCCGCCGTACTATTGGGCGGAATTTAACATGGCTGGGCTCATTAGATTCGGCACGTGAGAAAACTAAAATCACGCTGGGTTCAACGGCATTTGAGTGGACCGTCTTAAATTTAGACTCCAAATATAGGGTTTTTATAAAAATTTACACACCAAATTTTCAAATTTTCGCGTCCTGATTATAAGAAAAATTAAAAAAAAAAACAACGAAATTCCGGCTTCAAAATGTCAGCATCCGTTTTGGGTGGATGCAGTTATTATATCGAAAAGTCTTACATTAGAACCATATTGTCCATGGAGTATTCTGTAACTTAGTCACTGATCACATGTGCGTGCGTTGTGTAGTTTAGCCACAAATCAGGAAAGAACACAAAAAAAAACTCGTTGGCTTCAACACATCTTCACCCATTTTTTCACATTATCACCATCATAGCTTCCACGCAACATATTATTTAATACCAATATTTTAAGATTTTGACAAGAACACTTCATTTTATAAAAATGAATTTAAATTATATACAATATGTTCATATTTCGCGTGTTATAAGCTTGCAAACCTCAGTTTCAGGGAATTTAAAAGATTTTTGTAATTTCCCATATATATATATATGCGAAAACGTGTTCACCCATTTATATTCGGTCGAAAAGCTAGCCAACGTTGTTGACGTTGCTGGAGAACAATATTGCCATATACAAAATTAGTTACTGGTCGGAAAATTTTTAAACCAAGGTGCACCCCACTCCCTCCCTATGGAACGGTACAATAGTGTTTACTTTCGAACACTGGTTATAATACAATTACAGGTTGGTATTAGAAACAACTTTACGACGTATAATAACATTTAAAGACGCTAAAAGAAAAATCATCACATTCGTTCAGAATAAAGCCATCATACTTTTATTCTCCCTACTGCAAATGTCGATTAGAGTAAAGTCGAGTAAGCCAACTCAACACACAGGTACGATAGAAGTTTCACTTGTATCCAATGTAAATTTACTATCAATATATATTTTTGAAATAAACCCAAATTAAATATTTCAGCATCATATTAAATACATTTTATTACTATTTTCAATTATTAAAACTAGTATAGTTTAAATAAGGATTATTGTAACTAGATCTAAGGGATATTGTTTATATTTTTAAAATTATCGATTATATACATAAATTGAGGAGTGAATGGAAGGCTAAGGGTAACTTCTTAAACGACTACACATGCGGAAAAGGATTCTTAATCAATTGATCGATCGCACGGCCAATGTATTTCCGCTAACGAACGAATAAATTCAAGCTAAATTCATAAGGAAACTGTATCGATCCTTGGGATGGTCGGCATTTGTATTGCCGTATGTTGATAACGTTAGTACTTATACTAAGAAGATTTGTCTTACTTCTATATTTAATTAATTTGTAATTAACATTTAATTTAAATACATCTAAGTGTCTTTTCTAGTTATGAGTTTCGATGATGACAATGAACAAGCTTTATACTCTATATAATTCATGGACAAATAAGATATATATATATATATCAGTATAGTTTGCAAAATAACACAAAAATGGAACGGGACAAGATAAAACATAAAAAAGGACTTTGAGTTTAATATAATATGCAGTGTTTGCTTATCACTTCTATTTTATCAGGTTTAAAGAAACGAAACCTGCTGTTAAACTATTCTGCTGTCTAATATTTCTTTGTCTGAAGGAAGGGTTAATCTACGTTTTCCTTCGCCTTAAAATAGCGAATCATTTATAAGTATGAGAAAACGATTTGGAATATGGATGAGAATCAATTATGGATACATTTAGTCTTGTATGTATCTGTTTCACTGTGAATATGATGTAGCTCCTTATATTTAAATACTTATTTATAAATGTACATAAATGTAATATGAACTTAAAATTAGGCCGGTATATGCCGACGAAGACGCATGGATGATAATGATTGGAGGTGGAGAAGAATGTGTTTTGTCTTGCACGTTGGTAACTTGGCAAACCAGTGAACCGATGAGCCCACACAAGATGTATGTTGCTTCCCCAATTAAAGTATATTCTTGAAACATTTGATGGTTCTTGTCTAACTCTAAATACAATTCGTTTGATTCCTCAAACTAGTTTAAATATTTACAAAATTCATTGAGTACTCATTGTGTGGCACTCAATCGGCAGATACGCTTGCCTTTCATGGAGGACTGTGTCTGGATTTATACACCGAGGTTTAATTAAAATCATATCAAGTTATTGCTGGTAAAACGTATTCGTGATGCCACATACAGTCAAGGCTACGACTAGGGGGTTTTGCATGTTACGAGTCCGCGTGTCAAGTTGTGTTTATGTGTGCGTATACGAAGGGAAGGCTAATATTGATATTCCTTTTGTATGCGGCTAATTTTACAACACCGCCCGCCCATCCATTCGTCAATGTTAAGTGGAAATCACCCACTTGCCTTGACTGCGGTGTGTTAAACAAACAAAATAACGAACAACGATTGCTAGTTTGGGTTTGTGCATCTAGGCAACAGGTGCTTATTTGTAGACATCCTAGGTCCTTTTCATTTCACAAATTTCCTTGAAATACTGATAGACGACAGCCACATGCCATTTGGGTACTTGTTTGCTTCTTATTGTTTCTCTATTTACAGATTTTGCTTATTTGCCTTTAAGACGTCTATGAGAAGACAGGAACGACATTCAACGTTTCGTTTCTACTCCATTCGACGGGACGGGGTAGCATAGTGAATTATTTCTATCGTGGCCTACGACGACATGCCCTATGACGTTATCGCAGCTGGATTGGGACCGTTGATTAAAGCGGGATTTGTATGCTTAGACTTTCCAGATAGAGAATCGGAATCATGCATTGTCAGTTCATGGGCTTCTGGTAGTGTTGCGTCCAAGGTCCGGGATGTTTCCATACTGTGTGATAAGTGTGGAGTTGGGCTGATGCTTTCGTTTCTTGAACACAGACTACTGATGTTTCCACTGATGTTGTCGTTACATTCCTTATCTTTGGCACTGGCTGTGGTTGGCGTACTCACCGCTGACGGCACATTCTTGGTGGTGTTCGCCACAAGAAGTCCAGAGTATTTGACGCCGTTTAATTCAAGGTTAACCACCAACTGTTGTTCACCATTTTCATTGGTACCTGTGTGAAAAATAAAAGGTTATGAGATGTAAATATTCCTGAATCCAATCCATCCACAAACTGACTAACTTACCGTTGCGGGTGACACGAAACTGCATACCCGACAATAAATTTAATGCATCCAAAGGATTCAGTGAAGAGTTGGCTGGCGAGAAACTGTTGTTGACTTCGTTGTTGCTTCCGCTAATGCCACTCGATTCACTTCCTTGATGTTGGCTGTGTTGCTTAGACAAGTGTATCTTTTTAGTAGACACTGGAGAAATGTGTTCGTTTCCACCAGACACTGCCGATGTGGAGGGCGAGTTTTCTATAGCAGAATCATCAGACTTATCGTTGTGAACGCTGCTATTACTACCGTGATGTCGAGGTGGCCTACCCGTCATGCCATTCATTTGTTGTCTTTCCATAGTGTCATCATGAGAAGAGTTCACTGTAGTATCGTGGTCACCTTCGTCGTCATGTCCTTCCTCACCCTCCGCATCGGAGTCTTGTTGGTTATCATTCTTGTAATGGAAGTTAACAGCTGCAGCAGCAGCGGCCATATTGGTGGGTATGTAAAAATTAGCGGGGAATCCGGCACGTTTTGCGGGTGGTGGTTGGTGGTGGAATTCCTTATTATCAGTCATGTCTGGGCTAGGTTCGCGTTCACGCTCACGCTTAATGGTGGTAACACCAGGTGGCGAATCCGATAGGTTCAGGGCTTCACTACTATAAAAAGAAGGTTCCGTTAGTTATTGTTTCGTTGTATTGTGGTGAATATATATTAGGTTTACAAATGGGCTACATTCGCCATGCATAATAGTGTGTGTACAGTACTGTACAGTACCATATTGTATAAAAATGGATACATTCACCATGAAGAATATTGTGTATACAGTACCATATTGTGTACATTACATTCTGCCTTGTTGTTAGCGGTCTTCAATGAAAAGCAGTGTTGCCATTTTGGGCATTTCGGACCAAATTTTGTCCGAAAACAAACAAAATCTATGATGGCCAGAATTACATTTGAATTTTCAATGTTGATCCGAAAATCTCTCTTTTTAACGTACATTTTGAGCTGATTTTTTTCGAACGCCACTACTTACAAGATTTCTACGATTATTACTAATGCGCCAACACTTACCTATTGTTTAGCACATTCTGCTCCTTTGAATCCGATGCTGGGGGACTGGTATTGTTGTGATACATTTGCCACAAGGCAACCCGTGACATTTCCAACGCATTAAAGGCCTCTCGGGGACTGATCTCTGGGCTCTGTGAACGCTGTCTTTGTTGTTGTTCTCGCTGTTGTTGTTGTTGATGTTGCTGCTGCTGATGGTGCGGCGATAAGCCCATGGCAGCAGAGCCATTGCCCATTGCATTTTGCTCCTTCTTCACTTGTATCAATTTCAAGTATTCTATCATTCGCTGCTCGATTTCTTGCGTCACTAAATTTGGCACTTGGCCGAATGTGGGGGCCATCAGTCTGTGATGGGCCGCCGCTGCTGCTGCAGCCGCCTGTGCCTGTTGATTATTTGCCGCTGCGGCATGTGTCACCAAAGCCAGAGGAGACATTTGCTGCATACCGCCGGGCAACGTTTGCCGCCCCAATGGTGGCTGCAATAAAAATGAATAATTTTATTATTGACCACCGCTTTCCCCTTTCCCTTTTCACACTTACCATTTGCATTTGATTGTGCATAGCTTCATATTGGCCATAACTCGAACGTCGGCCTTCGCGACGATTGCCATCGATAGCCGCCTGCAATTCAGCCGGCGTACTTAAATTTTTCTTTTCACATTCGTACGGATACAAGTATTTCATATATCTGAAAAAAAGAAAAAAACATAAAAGATAACACTTTAGTAGAGCAATTTCATCCTGGTGATATCTTCAAATCCGACCGAAGTGGATATGGTGCTTCGGTCTGGGTATTGATTGATTCAATGGCATTTATTGACAACAAAGGCGTAATGTTTAATGTTTGCAGACAAGCGGATAGCAGCAATAACGACTACGCCGGTATTGGAATAAATAACTCGGATCGCATACCACCTGTAGAGCACAAGCAGCACTCGCATCGTGCGACCACTAAATAAGGCAATCATAGTGGTTAATGGCCAGCGATGTTCTTGTTGCTCGCTGGTCTTCGTAGACGACCAACAATTTTCGTATAAAAAAGCATCGAGAATGCCGAGAAGTATAGACGCCAGCCTTTGTCGATAATGGAGTTGATGCATTTGTGCGTCGTTGTCGTTTATATGATCTTTGTTGTTTATTTTTCGGCATCTTGATCTCAAGATGATATGTATGTACATACAAATGTGGATATGTTGCACTCTGTGTTGTCGTAGCTGTTTGTCTGTCTGTGTTTATAATTCATCAACACATGCGTGCAATATTTTGCATTTAATTCAATAAACACTTAAGAACTCAACCAATAAATAAAGTATATTCACTCTCACAGCAGAAGTATAAAGGTAAGAATTAGGTATGCCAACAAAGATAAAATATATTATATAGGAGCGGAAACCCAGGTGGTGACTTTTTTTTGGTTTGCAAATTATTTATTTTGCGATTACTGATCCACGTTATAAATTCCAATAGAAACTTGAGGGCGCTACAGAAGCAAGAGTCGTTCCATGAACCTATGTAAATGATTAAAAGTTTGAAAGAGTTTCGATTTCATGTAGAAAACTAATTTCAGTTCCACGAAGAACGGCATCCCTAACACCTATATAGGAATTTAATAATCACGGAATGCTTGGTTTCATATTCATTAATATGTATATACAATCTATTTGTATGTCGGGACTCGTTATGTGCTGCTTAAACATAACCAATATTCATTTGAATATCAAGATCCTTTGTGTGGCCATCGATATGCCTACCTGGGTCTTCTGATTCGTGTCCGAATGTGAATTCATTCTGTGAATTATCAAGTAAACATTGGCATGTAAACAGTGTAAAGTGAAAAAAAGAAAAAAAATGTGTTTGTTCCGAGACGGTCGAATCACCACGAAGCACAAAAAACACAGACGTGAGGCATGATGCTAATTATTACAGGCATGATTGTACCTTATTGCGTGTCGTTGGTAAGAGGATTCGTGCATCGCCGTGGCAGAAGATGAGATGCCACCTGATAAGAGGGTTTCTGTTAAGCCTAATTTACCAAACATTACATTGACATTTCCTAATATCCGCGTTAACAAAAAATGTGGCAACTATGACAAATACAAAAGCAGAGATTTTGAAAAGACTTCGTCTGCATCGGCTTAGCTCAATTCACACAATTTGGAGTAAATAATGATTGCATATGTAGAAATGTACTAATTCTATTTATGACAGACCTAGGTAAACTCTTTATTACTTCAACGAAGAATAATATGCAACGAGTATGAGAAGAGATTTGGCCTTAGGACGACGATCACCACTTCATAGACTTATTAGCATTTGTTGTTGTGTCACTTTATTGTAAAACCAGCTTCTTGTTTAATTTTCAAGCATCCCTTGCGAAGGGCTAACACTATTAAAATCTAACCAACTATACTCTGTCGCGAAAGTATCGCACATGTTAACAAATACTAGTCACTAGTCTGCACGTTCTGATACATCTTCGATATCCAAATAAATGTCCATGCAAATTATCGGGAAATGTGGCCTGTACAGCAACTAGAAAACGGTTCGAAATTAATTTTTTTGTTCAGTTCGATCTTCTAAATTCTAACTGAAACCCACGACAAAAAATATATTAATTAAAATTATTAATAACAGGTTGGTATATGATGAATATAACAGAAAATTGATCTACTATCCTATTTTTCGGGAATTATTCTCACAACATAGTGAAACTATCACATATGGAGGAAAATTTCTAAAAACCCCACTAATCAGTTTTATTATACAACAAATTATTCCAATGTAATGTGATTTTATTAGAAAAATCAACACCATTAAAACAATCAATCGACATTTCCTCATCAAATAAATGGCATCATTTGTAACGAAGCTAGTTAATTATAAAATGAAGAAGAAGAATTACTATGTGCTTATATGTGTTTGAATAAATGCGCCATATTTAACACCTTTAGCTGAATGATGAGAGCGAGCCTCAACAACAATTCAAAACAAAAAATTGAAACTTTTTTTATTTCGAATATCAATTGTAGTATTAATATTCAAATTTTACATATGCTAAGCACGTAGCAATGTATGTGTTTGTGTGTGTACGAGTGTAAGCTCATATTGTGAGAAAGCACATTCGTACTCGTACTCACGATACGATACACTAACTGTTATCCAAGCAAACAACAATCGACTGGGAATCCATTATATGTACCCCCACTTGAGAGATACCCAATACACCGGACAAACATTCAGAATGCATAACCCCCACCACAACAATTTGTTTACATATATTGTTTATTAGATTAACAAATAAAAGTGTTATTTTGCAAATCAAGCACGACCATTGGCTGGTCCCCTCTGCCACGGCTTATTTTGTTCGAGTGTGTATGTGTCTCAGACACATGAGAATTTGACGGTTAAAAAGCAGACGCCATTTTTATTTGCTTCGAAAATAACGGTTGAATGTTCATAATGAAATACAATTAAATGCATTTGTGATATTGCATGTGCTTATACGTACGTACGCACATACATACATACAAATATGTAGTAGTAAAAAGGTGCAAACACTCAGTCTTTCGCTATAGCCTCGCTCGTATTCAACGAGAGACCCTACTACCAAAGACAGTTAATTTCTAGAAATACGTTGAGACTAGAGTCATTGACATATTCGCCAAGTAATGCCCATCCCACCGGGCTATATATATTATATACCAGTTGAGCGTACACTTCACGTTTATTGGACCAAGGGAGGTGTTGGTCGCGTATGTGATTTGAGACATTGAAACTCATAAAATTCACAACACTATACGACACTTTAAACATGATTGAGTGCCCGACAGAATGACGGCCGACGGAATTTGAATGCAATGCCGCGTGCGTTGTAGTTCATGCAACAACAAAACATCATACTAGAAAATTAAAATGCGAACACCCGAACTTTTCCAATTTGTGAACATTGTATGGTCGCTTATAGGAACGCTGAAGTTTTGGTAGTAGTGTTCACGAAACGCCAAGTAAAACATATATATATATATATATAATATGCATCTGAATTAGGCATCCGGTTTGTGACTTGTATTCTCTCTGTGCTTCAAACGTGCTATTCGAATCATCCCAGACAACCAAGTGATCTAAACAACAAATGCGAATGGCGAATTTTAAAATGTGGTCGAATACGTCATCAAAACAATATTTTTCCGCATACAATTTGCAACTGGCAACGCCCATGGCTAGAATAGCAGGCCGAGCCCTCTCTAGGCTTTCCCTATGACAAATCGTACGGCAAGGGATTGCCTGTTGCTTGGATTTGAATGGCATTTTTGACATGGCCTCGATGATGTTGGTTTCCATCATCATGTATTGAATATCTTTTATTGCTGTCAATAGATGTGGTCTTTGTTGTTGTTAGACAATAACCACCGTCTGCTTAAAAACCTATTCCGCCGTGGTTTGACAAACCGAAGACAAACGACAATGGCTATACGCAAATGACTCAACCGTCAGTACAACAAAGCTTGTCTGCATAATTTCCTTCATTATAATTATGGTAGAAAATAATAAAATGGAAAATATACAATAAAATTGAAAAGCAATAAAAATGCTATATTTTACATGCCAGTATTGCCTATACATACATATGTATGCATGCATGCAAATCGTTATATTTACATCTACCTAAATACATATACATATGTGGTAGTACTTACTGTGTTCTTAGCGTAAAAGCTGCACTCGTAATGCTTGATGGCAGATGCAAGCCTTTGATGATTTCTTGCCACAACTTCTTGTTGATGACATCCACCAAACCACCACGTGCAATTACCAGGTTATACAGCTCATACAGATCCAAAACAGATTTGGCCATAATTGGCAGGCGATTAATGGGCGTGCCTAAAATAAAAAGAAAAATCATTTTAGAAAAAAAACCGATACTATAATAACCAAATAAAAAAAAATAAATTAAAAGTGCAATCTGCATCCATCTACAATATCCATCTCCTGTTGGACAAATAGAATCTCAAAGCACAACAAAAATATTATAATAATGGCTGAAAAATAATTAATTAGTAGGTGTATATCGATATAATATTTGAAACGTTCAAATAGTAATAAATATTATTGAATTCTCCCTGTGTGGTTGGTTCTGTTTGATTATTAAACAAACCTCCCAGAAGGGATATCTCCTAATGATCTGCTTGAGATTTATTAGACAATCGGCAAATACAAATACAATCGGTGGTATTGTGAGATACCCAAATCGTTTATCATGATGCGTTCGTGGTGCTTAAACATCGACAATTATTGGCTGCTCTTCAAATTGTTTATAGAAACGAAATGTTTGGCTCGATTTATGATGCAATTCATCAATTTACCCATTTAATAGAAATGATCTTTTAATGACCTTTAAGTAGTGATCTCTAAACACCCTCACACCGACCAATTTGTAATAAAAAATCTAATTTGTAGTTTCACAAGGAATGATTTTCATACAACGTGTGCCTTTGTTGTAGCCGGGCAAAACTTGCCTGTTGTTGTGTTTTATAGATTTTTTTCTTATTCGTACATAATTTTATTGTTTTGTTTTTTTGGCCGTACTGCAACATTTATGGATCTCGTGTTCCCAATTTATTTTCGTTTTGGATTTGGATGGGTATAATGCCCCAAAGGTATCAATCAAAATACATACGTACATATTTATAATCAACTCGACATTCGGCAAGAAATACCGTGGCACATACCAAAACAAAATCAAACAAAAACGGCAATGCAAGTTGATGGACATGTTGATTGCGGAGTGTAACACTTCGACAAACGAAAATATCAGAAAAAAACACAAAACCAGAGCAAAGAACAAGAAATCGATACCCATGCATTTGTATGGTCATAAACAATAAGAAATGCATCTGCATGGCAGACTAACCACCTTCACGAAATGGGGGCGAGGCGCATACATACAACAGAAAAGTAATTAAGCATATGTAGACAGGTTATGAGTAATTATTAATGGAACTACAATTGACGGACGAAACATTCAATTGTAGCATATTCTAGGTCTCAAATGTATTATATTTTGATTAAAGTGTACATTTAATACACTGTGCTTATATTTTTACTCAACGTGCCGGGCGGGCGGCATTGCTGGATTGAATTTCAATATGTGTTTTCATACGAAACTATGACGATTTTGTTTGCACCCCCTCATATGTATGTAGATGGGTGACCGTGGATACTCGTATTACCGATCCATTTGAATAATTGAAACTAAATGTTGCCATCATTACCGGTAGATACCTTCCCGCAATGTGGGGAACCTCCATACCCCACTATGAATGTCATTCGAAAGGATGTGAACCATATGTTTTATAATATCGTACATACGAAATCAAAAGATGCATTCGGTACTCGTTGATTTGTTAGAACTTCGAAAATGTAACACAAATAGCACCACATTTTCCGAAATGCTTGCTAGTCTCGAGGAGACAATATTTGCCCCTAACAACGACACGCCAACATGTAGCATTATTGATGCCCTACTCTTTGTCATACTGATCGAAATGTCAAAATGACACTTTGATATGTGAAAATAATTTAAGAATAATGACTATTTTGGCTCTTTTATCAAATGACTGGTTCTTGGGTGTTTTTTGAAACCATCGGTGGTTCCTATTTTCTTTTTTTGGTTTCGTATGCTTAGTCTGCTTAGAACCGACAACCGTGAACACTAAGAGGGACAAGGTTGATTTGGCCCTACGTGCTTTGGCCCAATGAGCTGCACCAATTTCCTTCTATTAATAAAATAATTTTCAAATCCATCACACGTCATGAAGAATTTAAAATTTTTAATATGAAAACATTTCGAAATAAACATTTATGGTGTGATACATTGTGACACATTGACTGATGGATGCAGCATTAAATGAGTGCAACAACGTCCTGGTAGATAGTCTATGCGCGTATTCGATATTTGAGACCTATAGCTAAAAGGGTCCAAAACAAAATATTTCATGTGTTTGTGCTTATATACACACATACATATGAACATAATAAGTGTGTGCATCTGTATCGATTTGCATTTGACATTTGTGGACCAACAAACTTCCACTTTATTGAGAGAATATTTTATGTGGTAATTTCCCAAGTACAAGTGGAAATTTATGTCTATACATTGGACATTTAATTAACATAATTTGCTTGATCGAACTACCATCAAATACTACATAAACAATAAAATGAGAACGAACGACGTTCCTGATTGTGATTTCTTGTTTATTTATTTGTTTCCAAAATGCCACCGTTCACGTTTTGAGTGCATTTTTGCTTTCTGTTAGCTGAGCAACGAAAAATGCGTTGCTCAGGCTGGCAGACGGCAGGGGTAAGCAGTGAATACGTTTGTGTTTTTATGACATGCCTTGTGAAGTGACGAATCGTTCAAGTGTTGATCATGTCATTAGCAATCATGTTGACGTTGATGTTCTTGAAATTTTAATGAAATTGTACGACCGTGTCTTCCCCCTTCCATGAGGCAGACACCCCCAGACCTATCCTGTCGCCCCAATAATAATGGTTAGATGAATTCAAATGCAAGCATCAACACACTCAAAAATATTCCGGGGGCAAAAAAAAACTGACTTCCTAAGTAGAAAAGCCTGCTGCTGTACGTGTGTAGTGGGGACACGATGAGTCGTTAATAATGATGATGCCCCAATAGTCCGCGTATACCCGATGTCGTAGCGACGAAGGCATTGCAGTGGGCCTCCGTGTGTTTTGTTGGTGCAGTTTGTATGATATTCAATGCATAATGCGGTCCTCCCCAAATTGTTTTTTGTTTATTGTACGAATGCAACAACAACAATATTTAATGCATTTATAAATATTTTTTATTGCCAGTCATAACACTCACAATAAAAGTCCCAGAAATGCCTCAGAAGACGCCATTAAACAAACAACATTAACATTTACTCGTATTGATCTTGCCCTGACGTCACCCCTTCCCCCTTTCCACTTTGATGACAATTAATAAACTAAAAGATTCCCTGATATTAAAAATATGTGCGACCATGTCAATATTCTATCTTTTCGGGAACACTATTCATAAAAAGACGTGTAAGTATGTGCAGACCAAGTATTTTTTTAACATATTCCACGATAACATTTTAATTGACTGCAAATTATATTTTGAATTTAATTAAGTTCTTATTTTATTTTACTTACCTCTTTTCTGCATAAAAGAAAATAAATCATCTAAGAATTCTTTTCGCTTTGGGTCATCGTTGATTTCGTACAACTGCAAAGATAAATAAAGAGAAAATTACATTTAGACATCAACAGTACACACATTATTCGTTAAAAGGCATCACAAAGTGGAGAGGTAAATGCATTTGAAAAAGGAACCCGACAAAATAATATTTTGACACTTTCACAGATGCCGCCGCCTTATGATCTGAAAAACAATAAACTCTCCCAAAACCCGAAGTGTGTCAGGTTGTGTTGAAGTAAAATCACAATGAATCGACATTTCCCAACATCGCCTTTTATATCACGGTAGTACACGGTGGTGGGTTTATGCCGGTAAGAAGATCTTTATCATTCGGATGCTTGTTTACAGTAGCAGAATGAGTATCGTTTGTATTGCGCTCTTAAGCCTGTGTCCACAATCACCCAGGGTGGTGTTGATAATAAGCCCATGAATAGCCAGCCAATGTCAGAGCAACAGTGGGCAACGCACGCTTTCATCATTGGTGCTTGGCAAGGACGCATGCCTTTAACAGGATAATTATGTGCGCACTAACAAAGGAAAATGTGTATTCCCTCTAATTCCATTGCGATATTTGCCACCGTCGTGTTGCCCAATGTGGTAAGATCACCCAGGTATGTTTTTGTTTACTGTGTGATAATAGCATTTGAAGAGGGATAATCGGGATGAACAATCTAATTGGGCTATTCACAATGCCGTTGCAACCAATAAATCACTTAAATCCCCAGGAAAATATTTACATTAGCAAAATTGGTGTGCACTTAACACTGCTCAATTCCATTAAATGCCATAAATATGAGTTTCTTTCTGTCGAAAATTAAGCTCAAACCCTGAGCTTAGCTACTGGTCATGAAAAAGGCTTGCAACGCACGCAAATCATTATGCGCAAACGACTGTAATTTGACAACCGGTGTTTAACCGAATGAAACCTATAATCACCAAAAAAATGTCTGGTAAAGTAAAAGACGGCGACGACCGTATGAACCAAATGGCATATGAATATCAGAGAAATCACACTATCGTGAATAAATATGTATACACATATAATCACATAAATAAAAAATAATCACAAATGCATCAACAATCTTTATATATTGTTAATTAATTTAAGTAACACTCACAAATTTTTCCACAAAGATTATAAAACATAATCTATCGTATAGTTTAAGTTAATTTTAATAAATCTCAGGATCATTAAAATATCCATACCTAATAAATAGTTACATTTTAAGATACTAAATTCGTCTTAATAGGCATTGTTCTCTTGGCTTGATATAATTTGTATTTATTATTAATTATTCACTTCCATCTTCCATCTTTTGTTTATTTTTAATTTTTTCTAATGATAACCATATACCCAAACCGAATCATAGGCATATTATGGAAATGTTCTCGGGCAATGAATATTTTAACGACTTAAAAAATGATTAAAAACAAAATCAATATGGAGGTTTCAGAGGTAGAAGGCATGTACATTTTAAGATCGCCTCTGGGTGGAAACACACCAGAGAGAACGAAGTAAAATAATGAAAAATTGAATATTTAATTGAAAAATTAAATGAATCCATGAAAATGCCGCGAAGGCATTAAAACATTTTTGGTTGTACTTGATAGATTGCTCTCAGTCGATATATAGGCGATAAAGAAAATTAATAAAACTTCCAATTTAGTTGCACCCAAGATTACTATGACCATTACAGCTATTATAATTATATTGTTATATACTAGGTGGAGGATTTGGAAATTCATATAGTTTTCGTAGAATGGTTGAATGACTTCAATTCCCTCGTAAAATTTGTTGTAGACAAAATATTCTGTGCTATGTTAGTATTGACTTGCAGAAGTGTTAATGTATGCGGTTCTGTTTTTTCGCCTTCGCCGACTAAACTTTGGTTGCAACGAAATGATTTGGCTTTCATATTTTTGGTGTTGATCCGACTATACCACGAAGTAGAATAGTATTAATTTAAAGCATGCCTTTGTGAAAATAGCAGTGCGGTTTACACTACTGCATCTGCAGGTGCTAAGGATGGTCATAGAGATAGTATAGCAGATCACGATGGTGTCGATACCATCTTCTCTGCAGAAATATGTATCCCGGCAAGATTTTTCAAATATTAAGGCGTTTTTAGGAACTGCTTTTTTACTGTTGCTTCTTATGCCTTTGTTCTTTGTTTTTTCTTTTCTTTCAAAAAAAAAAGAGTTTATTATTAGCGCGGCCATAAATCCTGCTTTGTAGGCGTAGCAGTGTGGTATCAATCAAAAGTGAGTGACCATCCATCTTATCCGTGCAATGATCCAAAGCTGTTAAACTTACCTCTTGAATTTGATCCTCAGATATCAACATTTTGTTTGCAAAAGTTATCTCAAGGTTATGTCAAGCGACAGTGTAATGTTAATCCGACAAATGCAGAAACTTTGTATCTTCTTCTTCTTCACTTATGATATATGTTGTTGATGTTGTTTCGTAGTTATTGTTTATTTTAATTATTTGTTAATAATTTGCTATTGCCTATTTTTTCTAATCACTCGTGTACACTTTATTATTATTTATACTTGATTGACTAACATCACTGGGTGATGCTTTCAATTTGTTCGTATTTTTATTAAGTATTTCTTGCCGCACTGTTTGTAGTTTTATCCGCTTTTAATGGTCCAATGATGTTTCAATATCAAAGGTCTTTAATCGACTAAAAATAGAGAGACATACGCACAATCAACCAAATATTACGATGACGATGTCGACGGTACTCTCAGTGCGTTCAAAGAGCACATAAACACACACACAAACACAAATATTCACACGCTAAAGAGTGGTACGCACTTTCCATTCAGTACATAAAACACACATGCACACGACATTTATTTCTAATCGCATACAGTCTCAGACATACATACACACGCACTCGAAACGGACAAATTGAAAAACATTTATGGTTGACCTGAGTTCAAATATGGTGGTGTTAGTGTTATCGAATTGAAAACGTTGTTACTTTTTCTGTTAGAAATCGACGGCGGTAACGGCAAAACAAGCAGAAGACAAATGATATTAATGATCGTGCAACAACAACAACAGCAACCTCTCTTATAAAATAAGCGACACGCTAAACCTGCTTTTGAGTACAGAATAGATACGCTAACAACAACAACTCAGCGAACCAAACACACACGAAGAACAGAGAGGATTATAACGACGACGGCAGCAACAACAACGACGGCATCAATCATTCACAACAATAAGTTCTGTATATTAATCGTAGGGGAAATTTTTAGACCAATCAAAACCCGAATCCAGCCATAAAATAAAGCAGACATTTTTTCATAATCTGATCCAGTGATAAAATAAACGCGTTTATGCTACCTCTAACGTGGTGGCAAAAAGGTTGTGCTACCACTTTAGTTGTTGTTGTTTTCTTCCTTTGTTTCTAGTTACTCTGTCAGCCACGTAAGTAATAACCACCCGTCCGCTAATCCAGATAACTCTGTTCGGAGGATTTTTGAACCATTTTTAACCGTAATTATGTGCATATGCAGTATTCTTGGAAATCGAAATCATTATCTCGTTTGTCCAGTTTATTCATATTTTATTAGAGCCTACCTAAGTTTGTTTTTCTCGCTCGCTCGCTCGCTCACTCACTAACACACAAGTACCCGCCCGCCCATACACTCACTCCACTGCTGGATGCAATAAATGTGCTCGCTTTCAAACACATGTTGATGAATTTAAAACCGTGTTTGTTGAGTCCATTAATTGATGGTCATATATCCTATAGCGTTTTTATGTGTATGTGTATTAAATTCATGTTGCACATACACACTTATGCTCTTTTATATGGGTATTGGGTATTTTTATCCTAAACGATATGTTCAATAAAACGATATACGAGTATGCATATGCAGTGTATGTCATTTGTTCATATGACGATTAACGATTTCATATGAATTCAAGTATTCAGATTTCCATATGACTTGTCCCATGTTTCTTTTTTTTCTTCTTATTATTATTATTACAATTCTCAGTAATTCTGGTTTGTGTCATTTATTATGAGCTAAATGAAGAAAGGAATAACGTTAAATCGGAATATAAATTACATTGAAACGAGCATTTTCCTAATATCATCGACATACACACTCATCAGTACATTTTTTAAATGATATTTTTTTAATGAACATTTAAGTCGCATATTCAAACTTACAAAACTAAATCACCCCCTAATCTAAAGTACAGAGAAGTATTAAAATCAATATTTCGTATCCTTTATTCTGGAAGACACTAGCACATCCTTTACCCATATAGGGCATTACAGTATATTTCGTATCCTTTATTCTGGAAGACACTAGCACATCCTTTACCCATATAGGGCATTACAGTTTTAATTATTTCAGACGATATTGCTTTCCAGGATATTTTTCCTGTGGTTTTTGGTTAATTTTTGAGTTAATGAACTCCAACAAACTTTGCTTGTTCAGGCTGCAATTTGGTGCAAAATACATTAATAATCGATCAATAATTTCTAGGCTAGCTAACAAGTTTTTGCAACTTATAAACCCTCACGAATGATCGCGATGTGAATTAAAGACATTCCAGCGAGATAACGACACAAAACATACGCTAAATTTGGTTAAGCGTTCAATTCTCTGATATTAATCCAATCCAGAACTTGTTGCAGATCATAAACTCAACAATTAATCAAAAATGCCAAACCAATGAAGTTTTATTTGCAATAATAAATAATTGTATATCCTTTATATTTAAAAAATGTATAGTTGTCCTCCACAATAAAGAATATGTAACAAAATATGAATAGTTTTTTATGCTTTAAACTAGGGGGTGCTTTAGTTTTGTACGCCTGCATATCCGACTTAATATATATATATATATATACATATGTATATATATATATATATGTGTATATATATGTATATATATATATATATATTTTTTTTAATTTATAAAAAAATTATGTAAAGTTATAAATTAATTATATGAAAAATAAAAACAAATTGTATAACATTGTTTTCGTAAAAAA